GACACCATTTCCTACAGCATCCTCCTGGAGAAGCTGGCTGCACATGGCTTGGACACGTATACGCTTCACTGAGTAATACTCTGGCTGGATGGCAAGGCTTCACCAGAGTTGTGGTGAACGGAGTCAAATCCAGCTGGCCTCCAGTCAAATTGGTGTCCCCCAAGGCTTGGTACTGGGGCCCTTTATATTTAATATCTTTATCAGTGGCATGGATGAGGGAATTGAGTGCACTCTCAGTAAGTCTGCAGATGACACTAAGTTGGGTGTGTGTTGATCCGCCCAAGGGTATGAAGGTTCTGCAGAGGGACCTGGATAGGCTAGATCAATGGACTGAGGCCAATTGCATGAGGTTTAACAATGCCAAGTGCCTGTATCAGGAACAGCGTGGCCAGCAGAATCAGGGAAGTGATCCTTCCCCTGTACTCAGCACTGGTGAGGCCACACCTCAAATACTGTGTTCAGTTTTGGGTCCCTCACTACCAAAAGGACATTGAGGTGCTGGCACATGTTCAGAGAAGAACAACGAAGCTGGTAAAGGGTTTAGAGCACAAGTCTTATGCAGAGTAACTGAGGGAAATGGGATTGTTTAGTCTGGAGAAAAGGAGACTGAAGGGAGACCTTATCACCCTCTACAACTACCTGAAAGGAGGTTGTAGTGAGGTGGGGTTTGGTCTGTTCTCCCTCATAGCTAATGATAGGACAAGGGGTAATGGCCTCAAGTTGCATCAGGGGAGGTTTAGGTTGGGAGGAATTTCTTAACTGTAAGGGTTGTCAAGGACAGTAACAGGCTGCTCAGGGAGGTGTTTGAATCACCATCCGTGGAGGTGTTTAAAAGACAAGCAGATGTCATGCTTAGGAACATGGTCTAGTGATGGACTTAGGGCTGGTTCAATGGTTGGACTCTATGATCTTGAAGGTCTTTTCCAATCAAAACCATTCTATGATTTCATGACTCTATGAAAAGCTGAATGGCATACACCTAAGTCAATGTTTTTGAAACAACCCAGCTTCAGTAGCTAAAAAAGGCTGCAAATATGCAGCCTCCAAATTCACATGTGCTACAAAGGCCTTCAGTTCCTCATGGATACATCAAGATCTGCTAGAAGATTCTATTTAGCCAGTGAACCCAATGGGAAGAAACTAGGAAGCTCATGGAGACAGGTGGGAGCACTAACTTCTTCCACTGGGAGAGATGTATGTAAGATGGTGCCATCTATGACTCCCATTTCTTGATTTTGAGAATAACAATTTCAAGATCAGAGTTAAAATAGATAGCTTTTAGAGAAGCAAACATACTATTTATTATAAGAAAATATATTATTTAAGAAGTGATGTACATTCAATGACTTTTTTTTTTCCATCAGCTATCTTACTAAAAATACCTGCACTGGGATTTAATTGTGTATCAACTATAATTAAATGCCATCTCACTGTATTTGGCGAATTTTGTGAAAAACTTCAGAGTATTTAATATCTGTATGCTTCTGTTACAAGTCTGTCAAACAGAGTTCCACAATGCTAAGGCTACAACAGCCACGCCTGTTTAAGGACTTCCATCCCTCTCCTCTTTCTCCAGCCTGCCAAACTCTGCTGACAACAGTTGCTTGTGGAGTCTCAGAAGATAAACTCACTGAGCCCTCACTGCAGCCCTAACATTTTGCCAGATAAGTGAGAAGGTGGTGCCGCCCAAGCTTCTGCAATGATGCTGTGGCTGGCACTTAATTGACACATAAGCTTTGAATACTAAACAGAATTATCTTTGACAACCAGATGTTATTGAGGAGCTCTCTCACTGTTTTAGTTAGCACTGCTTAGCTTTGGTAGTCAGCTAAAGGAAAGCATTTCCATACAGTTTAGATGGAAGGAGGAAAAAAACAGGGCAGTGGTCAAGTCTACCAGCAATTTCCCTCACTTTCCCTAGTACAGATATTACAGTTCATAGTTACAGACCTGCAAGAATGCTGAATGCCTCGATCAGAAGAGAAATGGGATATTGCTAGATATGCTAGTCCCAGTATAAATTAAAAAGCTAAGCCTTTCCCATTTAAAATGTTCAGGAGTTGAGAATATACCTGCCCATTTAGCCACAGTGCTTGTCAGAGGTGGTCTTATCCCTGGCTAACCTCAGAGTACAGCTTTAGTTCTTCAAAACCACTTACATCTGCTATGGATTGGGACTGAGACTTACAGTCTGATTAAGTTGAAATATAATGCCAAGCCAGACTAATTGAAGTTCTCATGTAAACAGCCTCCAGCTAGGACCCTTTGACAAAGGTCAAAGCCTGGGGCTGCACACGTTTATCAATTTACACATAATTTACATTTAAAAGAATGCAGCAAACAGCAAAACAGTTTTTAACAAGAGGTGAATCTTCTCTGCAACTTGCTAACTTAACAGATCTGACAAAACAAGAGTTTGTTGACCCCCAGGCCCAGGCTTATCTGTTTGCATAGGGGTTTGTCCAAGTGCCATTGGGAAAGTTTAAGGTTCTTTGAGCATTTTAACGATCAGATTCTGGTATTCTGCAATACTGCAGATGTATTTCATAATGTCAATACACTTTTTTATAAATCTAAAAATGCAACAAAAATAAGGACAAAAAGAGACTGTGCTGAATTGTCTTTATATAGGAAGAAACAACCATTTGCTTACATACATACATGAAGAAGCTTTGCTATACAGACAGACTGAAAATTCAGATGTCTCAGGAAAGGACCATTGCAGCATAAATACCTTCTTCAGCTGTAGTTTAATTTCAAATACATTGTTGATGAACTCTTATTACTACTGCAGATTTTTTTATTAAGAACATCAATCTACAAAACTGGAAGGCCAACATAACGAAATAATTTGCTAAGAATATTGAAAAGATTACCCACTTAAAACATTAAATAGTGAGTATAAATGTACTTGCTGATGGGGAAGCAAGAACTTCATTTTAGAATCTCGTAAGTATGAAGCTTTAAAAAAAACAACAAAAATAGACACGGATTTAAAGTGTTAAGGCATTTTAAGTTCAAGGGAAAAGAAAAAAAAGATAATGCCAACATGGCAGTGTTGCAACAGAAGCAACCAGAAATAATGTTTAGATTAGATACATTCCTCATATCTGTAACACACTACATCCCTGCTTGCCCTAGAAAATTAGCTGGCACTACCAGATTAGCCAAACCACTTACATGCTGCAGACACCACTACCTACTTGTTTAATGGCAGAGGCCAATTACTGCACACCTGGAAAAACAGGTGGAATGATAGATAGAGATTATCCTATCCTGAAGCCTAGAACTTAATTAACTTACCTCACAAAATAAATATGCAAACTTCAGAGATAAATTTCTACCTTGTATGAAATCTAAATCAATTCATCTCTGCTTAAAACATAGCAAATAGCAGAACTAAAGATAAGTGTCTCTGGAGAACAAACATTAAAAAAAAAAATCAGACATAAAAGTCTGCAAGAAAGTCATGCAACCAAATACACAAATTAAGTTTCATCATGCAGAAAAGAGATCAAAGAGCAATAAAGTGATTGTGGGGCTGGAAAGACTTGAGAGAAGACTTAAACCTTCATTTAATCAGGAATGAATAGATGAGAGTTAGTGTGCAAACATTAGGTTGCATAAACACCAATGGAAGTGGGTTTATAGTAATGCCAGTGAGCATAACTAGAACAAGAGCAATTAAACTGAGAATGCAAAAACATAGACAGAATAGAAGGACAAGCTTTGTGAGCACAATTTTAGAATACACCATGTTAATCTTTCAAAGGAAGCAATGAAAATATGCTTGTTCGGGAGATTCAGAACAAGAACAGAGAAAAATAAACATACAATAACCTCAGAGGCCAGCCAGCTACTTACTGTTGGGAAACTTGTGTTTCAGAATCAGCTGGCAGCCTACTCTCATACACCTATATAGAAAAGCAGTTGCAGAAAAGAGTCTTACCAGATCATGAGCAGTCATCGCAATTTAAAATTCTTCATTAAAAATGAGTAAATAACAGGTTGGTCAGAAAGCAAAGATGACAAACAAGTAGAGAGGCAACATTGACAGAAAAAGCACTGCAATTGCATTCTCAGAGAGTCAAGGTGAGCAAGCTGTCCTATGGGTTTCACACAGGAGTTTTTGCACTGTTACCAGAGTCACTTTCTGTATTTGGCCAGACAGAAGCTTAATACACCTGCATTTTCAGTATTAAGCCAAGACCATCATAACTGTTATGCAGGACCAACTGTCTTGTATTAAGAAGGGGAGCCATACAGGAGCTGTTATTGGTCCACTGCACACAACTAGCTGCTGCTAGAAAGTACAGTCACAACAAATCCTGCAATGTGATTCGATCCAGGCTCTGTTTCAAGTGTCCAATTCATCATCACCATCCTGTTCTTATATCCACTCACATACAGACCTACTTATGAAACCATGTAATACACTGTAATTCATGAAATTATGTTATCTTTACAGAGACTCTGCCCCAGCTGATGAACCGTTTAATTACTTATCTGTGAACAAGCGGATGCCTGTGGCAAACACCACCCTCACCCCACAGGAGGATGCTCTTCAGCTGGAGAAGGACACCGTCCCACCCCTTCTCCGGCACAGCAGCTGTCGATGGGAGCGCTCCCGAGGTGGGTCAGCCCAGGCGAGCCGGGACAGCTCCGGTGCAGCGGCAGGGATGGAGGGACGGCGGGAGGGCAGCCAGGAACGACTGTTGGGGAGCGAGCAGGACACACCGAACCATGCCGTATCCCTGCACCTTTGCTACCCATGCGCTTGTGCGCCGCAAGGACTACGCGGCTCTCGCACCAGCTCAGCAACTCGGGCGCACCTGCGGGACCCAGCCCCAGAGAGGCAGCGGAACACAGCCGGAGTGTGCGGGGCTAGAGGTGAAGCCGCGCCGGGCACCGCCCTCTCCAAGACGCGGTTGGGAAAGCGGGGTTCGGTGCTAGGGAAGCGCCGGTCTCCGCTGCTGCTCGCCTCACCCCACCCCACGCACCTGGTCTCCTGGTTGCTGAACTTCTTGGTGACC